TCCTTAGAAGCTGAAGGCAGAGATCTGGAGAGTGGGCTCAGTAGGGCAGCCTGAGACAGGTCATGCTGAGTGATCTGAGAGCCCTCCCTGCTCTGAGGTTGCATGACTAATGTATTGTGTTTCCTAACTGCAGAGAACTTCTGCTCCAGAAGGTACCACTCTTAGCAGATCCTGCATAGAGCTCTACACATCCTATCCTTACTCAGTTACTGTGCTGACAGCTGTCCTCTTCATCTCCTGGTCTGCTCCACTCCAGCTACACTGGTTTCCCTATTCCTCCCCAAACACACCAGAATCTTCCTGTCTTAGAGCTTTGAATAGGCTGTTCCCTCTGCCAAAACACTCTTCCCCTAGATATCTAAAAGGCTCACTCTCTCACTTCCGTCAAGTCTTTGCTCAAATGTCTTCTTCCCAATGAGGTCCATCTGTCTACCCTATTTCACATTGTCACCATGTCCTTGATCCTTCCCTGATACTCCTCTTCTCCCTTATACTGATCTACATTTTTCTTTTTTACCATATGATTTACTTATTTATTACATTCATAGTTGCTTTTCTCCCACCTTCTCCCCACCTCAACATTAACATGTAAGCCCCACGGTGAAGGGGTCTTTATTTTGGTCACTGGCATATTTCAAAAGTGCCTAGCATTCTAACACAGGGAAAAAACTCAATGAATATTGTTGGGTTGAATTCCAACATGGCACATGGCCTCACCAAGCTACCCATACCCTCTTACCCTTGTGCCCCTGGGCAGATTGAGAGCTATAGGCTGAGGCATTGGAAATTGATTCCTCTGACAATATCTGTGAGGTGTGGGAGCTAATCCATGGCTCACAGTATTGCTTTAGAGATGCAGTATTGAGCCTCGTTAAGAGCAAAGTGTCAACACTGCTGTATCTCAGGAGCCTAACCCTGTACTACCAGGTATGGGTGGTATGCATAGGTATGGTAGTTGAGTCATGTGGTCTCCTGGAGCCTTGATTTGATCAACTCAAAAATAAGAATGATGCTCTTCTCACTGGGGCAGATAAAATATCTGTTGTGGATGAATCCCCAGCACCTGTCTGAGAGCCCGACACATAGCAGATATGCATTATGTTGGTTGGTTGATTATGAGAATAAAGTGAGATGATGTTTGTAAACTTATGTCTACATAAAGCACTTGACATAGAGCCTGGCATGTGTTCTGCATTACTTCATAGAACAAATATTTATTGAGTGGGTACTATGTGCTTGGCAAAGTATAATAACTGTGGAGATTGCTGGATGAACTACTGATGTTCAGTCACTGAGAATGTCATGGGCAGTAGAGAAACCTTCTGCATGAGATGAGCTGAGCAGAAGGGGGTGGCATCTCCCATGAGACAGTCTGCCTCAGTATCCTCACAGAACATTGGAGAGATGAACCAAAGGCCTTCTGCTCCCATTGGCCTGGACACCTGAAAGAGCTCTGCCCTCCAAGTCACTCATGCAGGTGATGACAGCTGAGGTCTGAGACTTGTTCTCCCATGGGTGCCCTCTCTGATTAACTCTATGTGGACTGCATAAACAAACCAAGCAAATTTAATGAGCACTATGAACCTCTTTGGTGCATGCTGGGAGTTGGGGGTCTTCTGTTCCTGACATGTCTACCCAATGCTCCCAAGTGCTTGGGCTTTAAGGGAGGGAGGATCAGGAAGGCTTAAGTACTAAGGTTTGTCAGCTCTTTCTCCAGCAGTTCAAGAGTATGTTCTCAAGTTAGGACTCCAAAGCTTGTGAAAAATATCAATAATGAAATAAAAATCAAGCTACCTCTGAAGGTTGGTAGTGATAAAATCAATTAATAGTAGCAGTAGTAATAGCAGTTCATACATAATACCTAATATATGTGCCAGGCATATGCAGAGTTCTTTATATACTTTACACTCACAACACTTTGAATTAGGTTATTAGCCCAATTTACAGGAAAGGAAACTGAGGCTCACAAAGGGTTGGTATTTTGCCCACGATCACACAGCTAACAAGTGTTCAGACAAAAGGGACCCTAGGCAGTCCAACTCTAGATGGTATCTAACAATCTAGTTATTGGTTGTATGGCAAAGGTTCTTTTCAAGCATCATGGAATGTACAGCTATAAAGCCTGGGCAAGGCACCCAACCTCTGTGGAACTCTGGTCCTTTCTTCTCCTGTAAGAGTGTCAGCCCTTCACTTTTGTTGGGAGTCGATGAGTCAGTGTATGTAAAGCCTTTATGGCCATGCCTGGCATGTGGGGAGAACTGAGAAGTATTAGGAAATATTGATATGATCAAAGAGCCTAAGCCTAAGAGCTCTAGGAAGAACCCACCCCTTATGAATAGCCAGAGAACATTCTTAAATGGGTATTTTGGTACTTACTTCAAGCTTACAAAGATAAGGGGACCTCACAGGTTCTAGAATACCCTTCTGCTTGTCACTGTGAATTCCTTCCTGAACCTGAACCTGGTGGGGTGTGTGTAGACTCAGGTGGACTATCTCAAATCCAAGCTCTATTGCTTACAAGCTGTATTCTTTAGGCTGGCTATTCCACACTCAGTCTTAGCTACACTCCCTGGAAAAGGGAAGTAATCCTGCCACCAACCCTACAGGGCTGCTGTGAGGACAGTGAGACACAGTCCCCAAGGGACACTGGATATGCATCCTGGCACAGAGTAAATACTCAATACAAAGGGGATGCTTTCCTAAGCCAATTAATCATTACCCTTAGAATCATGTCATTAACAACAAGGGTACATCAACTCATGTGCTTTTTTTTTTCTCTGTTATCTACATGGTATGGGGAAGGATTTCAAACCTAAATCATCAAGGATCCCATCCTTCTCCTTCTGCCTCTTTTTCCACAACAGCCTTTCAGACTCTGCCATAGTTCAGGCAGGAGCCTTACTCTGCATGGCTGGGGTTTCCCAAATGTGCCCCATGATACTCAAAACCAAGCCTGTCGTGAATAATGAAGGCTTTGTGCAGTTTCCCAGGAGCAAATTGAAGGGCTACACTCAATCCTTCCTGGAATCCAGGAGTGCATTTTCATGATGCTGAGAAAGAAAAAGAAAACAACCTTAAAAATTCCTAATTGGAAAAATAGAGGGGGTTTGAGGAGCAAGGTATCTAGGAGACAGAAAGGAAAAGAGAATTCACTGTGCCTGACAGCGAGGTCTCTGGCTGACTATTGGGTAGCCACCAAATTTGGAACTCTTGACAAATACATAATAAGTGAAATCACTCTGCAAATCAAGATATAATGCTATCATCTATGGTCTCAGACTTTCTAGCCACCAAGTACTAGAAATCATCAAAAGAGGTAAAAGGCAAGGTAGGATGTAGCTGTTATGCACCCCCACCCCTCATGGTGGGGGCTAGTGTCTCCTTAGCTGCTGACTGACCTGAGACCTTTGGATCATGTATGCATCGTAGCTGGACCCGTGGTACTTGGCCGTAATATCTGGGCTGTAGCCAGCATCACAAGTGCATGGTATATTCGAGCTCAGGGGCTGTTTCCTAGGTCTATATACCTGTGGGAGAAAGCTACAATGGTTAGGTGCAGGAGGGGAGGAAGCAGGGCTCACAGAGAAGGAGTTAGGAGAAAGCAAAGAAGGGGGCTTGTCTTGACTTTCTGTGGCCAGGTGGGTGGAAAATCCAGTGTAGAAGATGCACAGTCCCAAACAAAGAGGTCAGATGTAAGCGGTTCCCAATCCCCGGGGCCAGCACTAGCAAGGCTCTGTGCTGCTCTGTGGAATGACCCCAATGTCTGACAGTGACTGAGACCCTCCCTCTGCAGGAGAGGGTACCCATAGATGGTCGTGGTCTCTCTCAGAAAGGCGGCCCTATGAGAAATGGACTCTGTTTCACAGCCAAAGGATGCCTTTTCCTTCCCGAGGAGGGAAAGAGGTGGCCCGGTTGCGAGGGGAAGGGTTTTACTTCTTTAGGTTTCCCTTCCACTCACCTTGCACACTGGCCCAGATCACCCTAACAGGCACAGAGGCAGCCCTGGAGGCTGAAATTGATGTGGACACACTCCATGTGGTACCATGTGGCATTTACAGAGCTTCAGAGCCACATGTGGCCTAAGCTAAGTTGTGACAGCTACCTTGTGAGACCACAGACTACTGAGCCATAATATCTGCTAAACTGGTTTTATAATGAACCTAGAATCCAACTGAACATCTTTAACCACTGCTTCCAAAAGTTCCCAAGTTATATATGGAGAAGAAATAATGTCTGAAGATTTCAGGAATAATTTTGATATATATTTCAGGTGCAATTCAGTCTATTTAAGCCACTCAGAGAAAACCCTCCAAAAAGAAAAGAACTTTCTGCACAAGTTAAGACTTTGCCCCTCCTTCTTTTTTCCTCAGAAGAAATACAGTGGCCTAGAGAAGAGGAATAAATGGATAATTGAGTAAATGGGTGATTTAAAACAAAAAAGGATGTTTAACTAAATAATGGCTGGGGAGGTCTCCAAGCATAGTCTGGCAGTGCTAGGGTCTGGGAGATGTTTCTTAGCTGAAAGGTCCTGAAAGAACAAGTTAAAGAACCAAAGTTGGAATTATGGAGAGAAAGAAAGCTGAAGAACTGGATGAAGATAGTTACTGATAACACCCAGAAAGTGAGCAAGACAGAAGGTAACATTTCCAATAGGAACAAAGGTGCCCAGAATTTAATTCATACTTTCTAGGATATAGTGAAAAGTCATACAAAGTCCACTGGAAGGAAGAGACCTGAGAGTTATATCTGGGGACATGATGCTAATACAAAAGAAAGGAAAACAGCACTGGCTGCAAACCACACAAGCCCAGGCACATGCACATAAAACACAGAAAAGCAGTAAAATGATGTTCTAGCAACTTGGGCCATTTCATTCCTACCTGGTTTTAGCTGTTTGAGCCCGCAGGATGGAGATGGGAGAATGAAGAGTAGCTAAACCCAGAGAAAGCACGCAAGGCCCCAAACCCAGCAAAACACACCTTTTGTGCAGGAGGCCCCACCTGCTGCTTTAACTGATGCACTAGTCGATCTTTTTCCCGCTTGAGGGCCATGACTTCTTCCTGCGTCTTTTTCTTTTTGGAAGCAGACAACTCCAGCAAGGCGATATTTGCATCTTTTTCACTGATTGCCGCAAGCAGCGCTTCCTGTCTGGTAAAATAAAGATTATTGTGATCATTTTTATAAAGTGTAAGAAAAAAATACTTGTTATTTATAGTTGAAATGAACCATAGAACACTGTCTCAATGGGAAAGAATTAAAGACAAACTGACTCTTGTCAGATTCAACACAACCCAACAAAACTAGGAAGCAATTTAAGTATCAATAATTTTTTCTTGCAAGATTTTCTTTTGAAGGGAGTCAGAGATATCCATTCCATTTCCAATGTAATTAATGATGCTTTCCTGCCATTCTACCAAAAACCATTCCTTTCTCAGTCTTCTATATCTAGTAATTATACCACCACCCACTGAGTAACCCAAGCCCCAAACCTATAAATCATCCTTGATTTCTTCCCTCTCTTCTCCACTCAGAGTTGCTCCATCAACAACTTCAGCAGGTTTTACTCCACAAGACATTCCTTATCTAAACTGATCTACTGCTATCAAATTATTCCCAACCACCAGCATGTACTCCTGCAGACCACTCGTCTCCATGGAACAAAGACCACTGATCTACGTGGAACAAAGACTAATCATCTTTAAAAATATTATAGGGACTCCTGGGTGGCTCAGTCGGTTAAGCGTCTGACTTCGGCTCAGGTCATGATCTCACGGTTTGTGGGTTCAAGCCCTGTGTCAGGCTCTGTGCTGACAGCTCAGAGCGCGGGGTATGCTTCAGATTCTGTGTCTCCCTCTCTCTCTGTCCCTCCCCCACTTGTACTCTATCTCTGTCTCTCCAATATAAAAAAAATACATGTAAAAAAAAACCATTATAAATCTGGATTCCACCATTAGATTGCTTGCAAAATCGACTGTATCACTCATTAGACTTGAAATCCAGGCCCTTTACTGATGCCTATTACTCATTACATCAACTGGCCCTAACCACCTCTCTGAGGTCATCTTGTACCTCTTCTCCTTCTGCATTCATTAGGCTCCAGCTCATTTTGTGCCTTAACTCTTTCTCGTCCTTGAAAACATTATACTTGTTCTCACTTCATAACCTTTGTCTTCGCCATACCCTCTGACTGAAATGGCCTCAGCTCCCACAGGTCCTTACCCTTCAGGTCTCAACTCAAATGTATTTTCCTCAGAAAAGCCTTCACCATCCACTTTCCCTAGTAGTGTCTTCCTACCTTTCCCTTTGTGCCCAAGCTACTGGCCTGTCACATTACACTCTTTCTTCACAGATGTCTCTGCTATTTAAAAGAATCTTAGAGGGATGCCTGGGTGGCTCAGTCAGTTAAGTGTTTGACTCCTATTTCAGCTCAGGTCATGATCTCAGGGTTGAGGGACCGTGCCATCTTAGGCTCCGTGCAACCTCCATGATGGGATTCTTTCTCTCTCTCTCTCTCTGCCCCTACCCCTCCCCTTCCTAAATAGATAGATAGATAGGTAGGTAGATAGATAGATAGATCGATCTTAGATATCATAATTTATTGTCCAGACTTGACACTCCATGATACTGGAACCTCATCTATCTTGTGCACTCTGGCTTCTAGAAGAGCACTGAGCACATGGTAAGTGCCTAAAATATTTGTTCAAGAAATAAGTAATTTTACTTTGTATTAAAAAATGTTTAAAGATACCATATACAAGTTTTCCTCTCATTTTTAGAAAAATTATAATGTTTTGATTCCTTAATCTCTGATCACTGCTTACTCAGAGGAGTATTAGGGTTACCCCCTTCCATTTTACAGTTCAATTTTCTGGCAACATCTGTCACAACTTTCAACATAGAATTTTGGGAGAGTATTTCTGACCATAAAATGGCTTTTCTGGTGTCATTCATTTAGTCCTTCTTTCCACTGAGGAGGTCTTGTCCCAATCTGTGTCACTCCTGCCACATTCTAGGTACCTTATAAGACCCCAGAGCCTTGGGAAAGCCTCTATATTGGGTATTTTCTTTGCACACGTGTCCCAGGACCAAAACCTGGTCCTGATCCTATTTTGTCTTTCTTTAATTCCCGTTCCCAGACCAGGTCCTCTCCAGATGTTTGAACAAGATGGTCATTATTTGGATCTCAGATTTTCCTCCTTTTCACTGCAGGGATTTGTATGGACTTTTCCGGGCCCCACTAATGGCAGGGAGTAGGAGCTTCTGTTGGAGGCTCGGTCAGACATATGAGCAGCAGAAATGTCAGGGAATATGTCCACTTTCCAGAAGAAAGCCAGGGCAGGCTGGACTATCAACAGCAGCATTCAAATCCAGCTTCACACAGCCTGTCTCCTTCTGGATAACATCTTGAAACAGTAGACATGCTTGCCGTTCAGTTAGTGCATATTTGTACATAAAGTCAAGCTGAAGAGGCTGAACAGCCTTCAAAATCAGGGAGAGCTCATATGCTACCAACTCCAATTTAACTACCACACATCCAAGGTGGCAATATTTTACCCTACTCTGCCCTAACTGAAATGTCCATGTGAAGCTTTCTAAATATAAATAACCTAAGAAATCATTAGTAAGAAAACCGAGGATTGATAGTAAATTATGCTGCTAGTAAATTTATAGCTATATGCTGCATTTACAATGCTGATTTTAAAAAAGATGTGAAAACATTTGTTTGTTTAGAGACAGTTCTCCATGTGTCTCATATTTCTGCACATTTTACAAGCAAAGGCACTACCTTCTTTTCTCACAAATTTTCCAGATGTTTGTATAGTGAATACCCTTGGAAGGCAGAGGTAGTTTCTCCCTTAGGATCAAAGGGCAGACATGCTTACTGCCCTTGTCTAACAGCGTCTCCTTCCAGAGCAAAGGGCAGGCATGTTACTGCCATTATAAAAGATTCAGGTTCCATAAGCTCGGAGTTGCTGTCTTGTAATGCAACCTGTTGCATGTACAGCTGTTCATCTGGCCCATCTGCCTTGCCTCCCTGGGACGTGAGGATAGGAGAACTGACATAAAATACCCTGATACTGCTCTCTGCACCTTGAGCATGAAGTCTTTGGTTTCTGACCTCAAAGCCTCTGGTCATCTACCAGCATCCATGAAGCTGAGCCAGGCTAACATGCCAGTAGGGAAAAAAAAAATCTCAGAATCCACAGTTCTTGATGTGCATATGTATATGCAATAAAATCCCCCAAACATAAAAATAGGAAGGACAGACACCAAAATGCTAATAGTCATTATCTCTCATGGTTGTGAAATGGATAAGCTGGTTTTTGCTTTTTTTCTGCTTAAATCTTTCTGCATTATCTGTATCACAAAATATCATAAGAGTAAACATTAAGAAATTGCAAATAGAACTTTACAGTCACCAAATAAACTGCAGGTACATGCTTCAAACACTTGGCATATGTGAAATCGGTTCATTTTCCCATCAAGGTACTTATGCTCCCTCTGTCCCTCTCACTCTGTGCATAGGTAAGTGCACATACACCTACTTTCATTTACAGACATGTCTGGTACAGTCTACATCATCTCCCACTTGGACAGCTGCAATCATTGTCAAAGCAGGTGCCCTGTGTTCGCTTTTATGTCCCCCTGTCCTATGGTCCTTTTTAATCCATTTTCCTCTTTCAGGTCAATATTCTGAATTAAACAGCTTTAATAACTGTTAAAAAGTCACCATCAATCTAAAGAATGAGCCTTCTAAACTCTTTTTGCCCTATAATTCTATAATTTAGGCTTTTCCAAACAACACTTATTTCTCTTCTTGTAATATCATTAAAAGTTCCAATAAATTATTTTCTAATTATCTGTTGATCCGAAAACTATCGATCACAAAACATGTATCAATTCCTAATTCTCTACAGATGACACTACTAAATACAGCCCCAAATCCTATTACTATTATTATACTCAAAATACATTTAAAATCACTTTTATAAAAGTGCATTTAAAGCCACTACTCATCAACATTAATATTCATACAAAATAACCCATTTTGTTCTTTGTAACATTTTCCTTAATTTTTTTTTTATTTTGTTTGCTTTTGGCTAACAAATCTGTTTTATGAATACTGGTATTATACAATCATAGAACTCTAAATGTAATTAGTGTAAGCAAGATTTATTTTGTTTTTAAAGTTTATTTATTTTGAGAGAGAAAGAGTGTGTGTGTGTGTGTGTATGTGCGCGCACGTGTGATTGGGCAGAGGGAGAGAGAATACCAAGCAGACTCTGTACTGCTCTGGGCTCAAACTCAGGAAGCATGAGATCATGAACTGAATTGAACTCAAGTCAGACGCTTTACCAGCGGAGCCACCCAGGTACCCAGGAGCCCTTAGAGACCCTCATTTAAATATTATCCATAAACTAATGATAATTTCTCCTAAAATAACCTTATTGAAACTTACATTAAATAATTCCAGTCTCTTTAAACCAAATAGTAATTGGTAGAAAATAAAAGTATATAAAACTAGGAAAATATGAATACTTCACACTTTAGGATATTTGGAAAGATGTTCTAACTATGTTAAGGTTGTATCTGGCCATTATCTATTTGTACAGGAATGCCAGGCAAGAAAATTCTTAATTCTAGGCTGACACAACGATTGCATTTGTGAGTTTTTTAAGCAATAAGCTTTATAAATGAGCTTCAACTAATTTTTTATCAAGCTGATACACTTCAACTAATAATTTAAATTTCTGTTAGCTAATTCTGCACAGTTATGGGTTGTTATTATTCCTGCTTTAGAAGTCAGGGGCTCTTTGAGGGTAAGGGATACTGAACATATCATCTTTTTTAAAGATGAACTTCATTTACCAGCCCAATATCAGACTGTACACTTTTTACAATTCCCATGAGGCAGTTTGCTAATACATCCACGGCATCTAATGACAAATACCTTACTGAAAATACACAGAGGCTTGTTTTGAGAAAATGGTAAACACTGTAACAAATTATAATAAATTTAATTTATTTAATAATTGTAATAAATGTTGCCCCTGCTTTTTTTCCAATAGGGAATTTTGATTCAGCCTTTCAAAGTCTGGGAAAACTGAAATATTTGCAGTTCTAATGCCTCTTTTACATCTACATCT